TCTGGCAGGCACCTGCTTCCACTCTTCCCCACCCTCTAGCTCCCGTCTTTCTGCTTGATGATCACAGCAGAGGGGATCTTCCGCTTCTTGTGGAGCTTGCCGCTTACTATTCAGGAAGTGACCCCACCAATCTCTCTCAGACTCCCTGATAGTCCTCAACCTTGCTACTTCATCCTCCAGCTCAGCCACCAGACTGATCAGATCATTCACCTGGTCACATCTGACACTGGTGTCATCTCTGCTACCCTCCATCACAAGTGCCAGGCTCTGGCAGTCTCTGCAGCCTGAGGCCTGAACACCTGCACGCTTGCATGGTGCCTGTCTCGGTGCCCACAGTTTTTCTAACGGCCTTTGATGGGTATACAACCATAGTTGGTTCAGCAATCAGGAGAGCTCTCAAAAACACACAAAAGCTTATTTACAGCATGTATGAGTCTTCTGCTGTTAACACAGATTTACCCTTTGCTGCCTTGCGTTCGGTGCTTTGGGTGTGTGCGCTGGGCTTTTTATTGAAGCCTATTAAGGGGGCAATTAGCAGTTGGTTAACGTTGTTAAGGTATGCAATTAGCAGCACGTTAACAGCATCCTCGGCCCATTTAGACTAGGCACTGGGGATGGTGGCTCCGCCCATGTAAGCACAGACTATTCCTAAAGTTTTTCCAACTGTAGCAGAAAGTCTGGTTTACTTCTAAGGCATTTTTTTGCAGCTGTGTGCAGCCCTTCCCACCCACTTCAATGGGAAGGGCTGCACAGGGATATAATACCTTGTCCTTCAGAACTTTACAAGATACGTATTTCTCTAAATCCGTTCATATCTTGTCATTGCAAAACTATTGTGTTTCAATGAAACGGTGCACAGGCAAAGGCCTACAGAGCTTTCTTCTTCCCTTCTATATCCTACCCAAAAGATCACAAGCCACAGGGAGTATTTTTGCATCTAAGTAACAGTAAACAGCAGCCTTCACACGCAAAAAGCCTGGTTATAGTCAGGCAAGCAGAGTATTACAAAAACACTAACGTGATTACACTATAACAGTGCAATCCACTCCAAGTGTAAGTCATTATAAGTGCCCATGAAAGGGAAGAATGCTGCAATGAGAGAACGAGCACAGCACAAAAACAATGGCTCCAAGTAGGTATAAAGCATGTCAACTACTCTGCAAATTCAAAATCTTTATAGCGAAGTCTTTAACAAAAAAAAAAAAAACAACAAAACCCCCCCCCGCAAACAAAAACCAACCCAAAAACCCCCACAGCCAAAACAGCACAACACAAACTAAACACTCATCTGAAGTTCTACTTGAGGCAAATAACCCACAGCCTTATTTAAAGGTACACAAGTACCACTGCTCCCAAGAGAACTGACTCTCATTATTGATCCAAGTTTTGTATTTCTTGAGCTAATAAGGGAACAAGTGGCCTGGTAAGGGAACAATTTATGCCCAGCTTAAGTAACCTAAAACACGACTTCACTAAGTGCTTGAGACTTGATAGAGCTTAGTCTACAGTTTTTCAAAACCAGGAATTCAAGAAGGGGGTTCTGTCAGTCACAAGCTTCTTCTATGCAAAAGATTCTTCTTACCACAAAAGTAGAACTGTAATAACAGAAATAGAACTAGGCCTGAGGACACTACCTGCATCTCTCTCAATTTCTCCTTTCATTAAATAAATATGGCTAAACTGATATATTTTTGCAGCGATTAAGAAAATTCTATTTGGCCTGTCAAATCTCACTTAAAAAAACTTTAGAATGACTGAACACACTTCAGGTAGCTTTGATGACAAATACTGCAATTTCAGTATATATGAATATCTTAAATCTGTTCATACTAGGATGAAGCTGCCAACCTCACCTCAATCTGCCTGAAACAGATTTAGTTCTGAACAATGCTGAAGCCTACAAGGATTATCCAGCTTAAGAATTTAAGAAGTGCATTACTTATGTTTTTCTCACCTTATTAAATTTTATTCTGTTACAAAAGCCATGTCGTTCATTGTCCAAGGAAACACATTAAACCACCACCGTGTCCATCTCGGTACCTTTCCCAATGTACAGCTTACCAGATTCGGTTCAGAAACTTAACTGTCACACCAATCCTCATATCAATGTACTTTCTGAACTGCTGGGTAAGTGATGCAGGGCTGCAGCAGCAGGTGAGGCTTCCTGAACCAAGCCTGTAGCTTTCACTTCGCACTTTGTTAAAAGTTCTTAATTCCTTGCAAAAGCAAGCAGGGAATCCCCAGAGCAATGCAGTGGACAGTGCACCTCACGCATCACTAAACAACATAGGGCAACAGGGTGCAAGGGCCATTCTTCACCTTCCCAGAAGCTGGAAGCAAGTGCTTTGGAGCACAATTATCCCCTACACTCCCCCTACTTCTCACTTCCTGTGGAGTAACATGAGAACATACATCTCTAGAGAACCTCATATAATTTTTTAATTATTAATAGTGTGCAAAGAACAAGGAAAACTAGAAGAGATGAGAACAGAAAGTATCTACTTATTTAGTCCTGCATGCGTACAGTGACAGTGCTGCTTCAGACCAAGAGGTTTTACATGAAGTGTTATTCAGTAAAGGCTGGATTAAGATTGCATAGCTAAAAACAGGAAAAGGTGTTTTAGGGAAACAAATATACTACCTAAGGTTTAGGTAACAGCAACTGCAAGACGGGAACGTGAGAAATGTTGGATTAGAGAATTAAGAACACGAGATAGCTGGAGAAACACACCCATAATCAACAGCTGGATGTAGACTGATAACACATGCAAGACATCCAAGTTTTAGGGAGAAACAAGACAGTAAGACAGCTAAGTACTTCACACATTAACACAAGACAGTACAGGCACTGAGATTTTACTGGTTTCAAGTAAGAAAAAGCAGAGAGGCTAATAAAACATACTGCCATTATTTGGCATAGAAACTTGCATGAAATGTATTTTTGACCAGAGGAGTCTCAAAGCTTGGATTGTACTGTTTACAGAACATGAAAGCAGCAAAACAGATAGGCAAAGTAATACCCCAGTAACCCACTTCAAATCCCCCCAAGTTCCTGCCACAAGATGGCAACACAAAACCCCAAGCATTCACACTATGAGCCAGAGGAGCAGAGCTGACTGTGGAGTATAGTTCTGTTGCAGAGTTTCTTTGTAGAAGTTGTTCTGAAGTAAATCCACCTGATCTAGCAATGCCCTTGCATCCATATCATCCCTCATGGTTTTAGGCATGATACACATTCAACATATACTCAACAGGCAGCTTTCATTTTCACATATAAATGCTGAAGCAGCAATATTAAAATTGTAAATTATTTAACAAACATACTAAACCAGATTCTTAGTATTTGAAAACACTTTTATTGTGAGGAACGTCACCAATGCTGCAGTTTCAAATGGATCTTACCAAGGAAAGCAAAAGTTTCTCCTCCCCATGTCCTGCAGTGAACAGGACTGGCACAGGAAAAAAAAAACACCTCATCACACCTGGGAGGTTTAGCACCAGCATCCAATAATAAAAAAAAAAAAAGCATTTGATTAGGTTTCAGTTCTTTGGTTGGGTTTTTTTCCCTTTTCAGTTTGATACCAAAAGAAAAAATAGAAGATTCAATACTAGTGAAACAGTGAAATTCTTTAAAAAAAAAAAAAAATCCAAAAACCCCAGAAAAACTCAGTTGCTGTTGAAACTGGGGAGGTTGCTCCTTCTGAATCTCATTCTCTTTTTCTCTCTTCATGCATTTATCTTGCAGGCATTCCCTGGAACTCAGCTGCTGGTAATTTATTTTTTTTTCTCCTTTTAAGTTCCGATGTTTCAAATCTTTGTTTTCATCATCACTGTGGACAATTTATTGCTTGTGTGTTTCTTTGGTGTTATTTTTGAGTTGTATTTAGGGCACCTGTTGGAGAGCCAGATTTAAAAAAAAGTAAAAATGTAGGGTTTAGTTTCATTTTCCTGTTGAAGACATGAGATACCAAGTGGTGAGGGAGTTAGACAGGAATAAGCATGACTGACTTATCCTGTCCATAAGCCAAGAGTACAGTATCTTCCTAAAGCAAAACATTACTAACTCATCAGCAGATGCTATTGCTAGATAGACCAGACAGATCTTCCTGAAAAGTCAAAAATATAAAGCAATTACTTTGTGACAAATACAGACACAGAGGCAGAAAGAGAAGCAGCAGACTGTTCTTGGTTTGCCTACACAGTACTCTCAGCAGTTATCACAAATATCTAGCCATACATAAGGGGATGTGGCCAGAGTCCGAGCCCTAGAAGTACACAAATGCTGCTTCAGTTGGAGTACAGGAACTGTCTCTGCTCCTTACCTGAGTGATGGTAAAGGTGCCTGGGGAGCTGGACTTTACTCAGCACCACTCTGCTCCGTCACTGGAGCAGGATTTTCAGCAGGTGTTTCAGTCACCTTTGTCTGAGACAAAATAAACCTTTGTTACAGGTGAAGACTGACATCCAGACCCTCCCCCTCTTCAGTCGGAGGGCCAGCATAGGCCATGTGTTACAATAATCAAGGAAGATGAATCCTCAGAAAATACTACACTAAAGTTTAAGTACCATACAGCATATTGTCAGGGGACCAGCTGAAGTAGGTATAGAATGAGAAAGTCCTTCTCCAGTACAGTAAAATCCGTGCTTGCAAACAGTTCCCTGAAATCATCTGGTTCAAGCAGTTCAGGAAATGGATTTAAAGCTTTCAAGTCCATCTCTTAACACTACATACAGGCTAAAAGTTTAAGGAAGTTGGAAGACAACTGTTCCTCTCCACTTCAAAAACATTTGTTCCAGTCTGACCATAATTAAGAACTATGCAGAAGCAATCTCTATCCACCACTGTTTCTGTTTAAGACAATTCTGCTCATTCTCAAAGAGAGTCACAAGGAAGAGGCAATGAAACCAGCTACCTTCAACCATCAGCACTTCGGACTTGGCTATCAGACTCCTCCAACACACCAACAATGCACTTTTTAAAGCTCCCACAGGACAGGTGGTCTTGAGCATTCACCCCATCAAAACTCTGTCTCTGCCACATTTTGCAGTAGTGTGCTTACCTCTTTCCCATTCTGAGCTGGAGCATTGGGTGGACGAGGTCGACGCCGGTAGTTGTATGGGCGCCTGTACCCTCGGCGAAGCGGCTGCTGACTCATAGCATTGGCCTCATGATGGTTCTCTTTGTTTTCAGCCTCTCCAGTCACTGGGGCAGGACGTGGACGCTGGGGCCCTCTGAAGAAGGAGAGAAATAGATATTTAGTAGGAGAGAAGTCCAGAAAGTCAAACTACTGTGATTTTAGCCCAACAAAAGTCACTCTAACCAAGTACCATCTTTAACAAGATTGAAAGCTAGCAAACCATCACTGTGCAAGTTTGGCTGGTGTACTGTTGGAAGGGAAAAACAAGCAACCTGGGTGTCTCTTCACTGCTGAAGCTAAAACAGTGCATTCTACTGTCTATCCTACAATAAAGATGTGTTTAGCCCATTTGAACTGCTGGCTAGGAGAAAAAAAAAAACACAAACAGTAGCAGCCACACAGGCTGATTCTGCTAGCCCTGCCATAGCTATACACAAGCACATAGTTAATGGTGTGATCCCTAGGAATCTCAATTCCACCTGTAAACCAGTTACCAGATCTTTGCCTAATGGTACACTTCTTGACCACATAAACAAAGTGCAGCATGTATCTCAGTAGGGCAAGTTGGACCTAATTAACACTAAACTATCAAGTCCACATTTTAAAGTATGCAAAAACATTTCATCTCATTTCCAGTATAAACAAAAGTATGTTTATAAACTGTCAAAACACAGCTGCTAGTGATGACAGTCACTGCCTACGATCTAGTTCCCATTATCTGGCTTAGCCAATCCACATCTGTCTAGTCCCAAAAGCCTATTCAGCTTTTCCAAAAGAATTTAACATAAAAGCACTAGTGTCACTGGATGTAGCATATGTAAATGCAAGGAACACCTATCTATTAACTCAAACAGAAGTATTCCATAATTATAGGACGTATCTTACCTCTTTAGAAAAAACACACCAGAAATACCTAAATTCCTGTTAGCCATGGGCAAAATATCCAGCTTCTGATTCACCCACACAACATGTAAGAGTTCAGGTGCATCACTGTACTTGGTGTGGCTTGATTGCTCAATGCTAATGAAGACTTTCAGGAATAAGATTTATTCAGCTCAGATCCTCACAAACAGCATCACTATTACTCCATTTCCCACAATCCTAGATGAGAGGCAACTTTAACAAACATTCACAGATACAGAAATCTCAGAGTCAAGGTACCAGGCTTGTGGTTCTCCTAGACCCATGAAATTCACCTTCTTGTTGCTCTTGCACTGTTATTTACCTCTTGCAGTTTGATTTTGAACAAGCATATATATGAAAACCAGGGATTACATACAAATACGCTCTTTGAGAGAAGAATCATAGAATGGTTTGGGCTTAAAAGGCCATCTAGTTCCAATCCCCCACCATGAGAAGGAATATCTTCAAATAGATGAAGTTGCTCAAGACGCCATTCAAACTGGCCTCGAATACTCGCAGGCATGGAGCTTCCTTCTACAACTTCTCTAGTCAACCTCTTCTAGAGTCTCAGCAGACTCAGAGTAAAGAATTTTTTCTAGTATCTAAATCTACCCTCTTTTCAGTTTAAAGCCATTATACCTTGTCCTATCACTACATGCCCTTGTAAAAAGTTCCTCTTCAGCTTTCTTGTAGGCCCCCCATTAGGTACTGAAAGGCCACTATAAGGCCTTTCCAGACCCTTCTCCATGCTGAACCACCCCAACTCTCTCAGTCTTTCTTCATAGGAGAGGTGTTCTAGTCTCCTGATCATTTTTGTGGCCCTCCTCTGGACCCACCTGAGCAGGTTTATGTCTTACCTGTGCTGAGGACCCTGGAGCTGAACACAGTACTCCAGATGACATCTCACCAGAGCAGATTAGAGGGAGAGAAACACCTCCCTCGACCTGCTGGCTACGCTTCCTTTGATGCAGCCCAGGATATATTTGGCTTTCTGGACAGCGAGTGCATACTGCTAGTTCATATCCAGCTTTTCATCCATTAGTACCCCTGAGTCATCCTTCAATGGGCTGCTCTCAATCCCTTTGTCCCCTAGCCTGTATTGATACATGTTGCCCTGACCTGTGTGCAGGACCTTGCACTTAATCTTGTTGAACCTCATGAGGTTCAACACACGCCCATTTTCAAGCCTATGCAGCTCCCTCTGGATGACATCTCTTCCCTCCAGCATACTGACCACATCACTCAGCTTGGTGTGGTCAGCAAACTTGCTCAATCCCACCATCTGTGTCATTGCTGAAGAATTAAACAGTATTGGCCCCAGTACAGATCTCAGAGGGGCACCATCTGGGCAAGTCATTGACCCTCTGGATATGACCATCCAACAGCCCACCCATCAAATCCAAACCTCCAACTCACAGAAAATGTTGCAGAAGACTGTCACAGTGCTTTATGAAGAACATCAGTATTTTATTTAACTTTTTACTCATTCTCCAAGATAAAATAAGGGATTAGTAGCCAAGAATCTGAATGAGCTTTTCCACTTAAAGGAATGTAATTTAAAAAAAAAACTGACGCAACATCTCAAAAGGTATGACAGTCAGAGGCTGACTATTTCACAGTGATATTTTTAACTGCACCAATGTCCTCAGCTATAGAATTGTTCCCTCAGTATAGAGGCTGGAAGCTTCACTGGTCATGTCAGAAAACTGGAAAACTAAGAGAACAAGCCTACACTGAACAGTTAAAGGTATGACTAAGACACATGACTCGGCAACTTACTCCACACATCCCATTGAAAAGTATGTGTTCACGTGAACTCCAAAGTATCTTTACTAAGAACAGCCTACTGGGTCTTCAAGTGTTCACTTATCCCAGTTTTATGGATTTCTAGGGAAAAATAAGGACAAAGAAACCTACTTCCCAAATAGCTTCCCAGCCTCCAACTGGTTTCCATGCTGGGATGTTCCTGAGCCTGACAGTTTGCCTATTTAGAGATACCATGATGGTCTTCTAGTTATTTGATCAGTCTCCCCCAAGCTCACGCAAGCTTTTAATATCACCAACATCCCATAGCAGAAAAGCTCCAGCAATCTCTTGTACAGCAAACGATGAGTCAGCAAACCGAATGTGAGTCAGTAAGTGGTGCAGCAAAGGCAAAATGGATCCTGGGCTGCATCCACTGAAGCATTAGTAGCAGGGAGAGATGTGACCATCCTACTCAGCACTTATCAGGCCACCACCTGGAGTACCATGTCCAGTTCTGGTCACACAGTAGAAAAAGGAGGCAGATATATTAGAATGGTCCAAAGATGGGCCAAGATGATCAGAGGGCTGGAGAAATAGACCTGTGATGAATGACTGAGGGAGATTCATCTTCTCTCCCAGGAGAAGAGAAGGTTTAGGGGAGAACCCACTGCATTCCAGTATTTAAAGGGTAGCTACAAAGAGGACAGAGGCACTGCACTGAGAAAACAAGGGGCAACGGGTACAACTTGCACCAGGAGAGGTTTTGTTTTGACATTAAGAAAGATTTACTGGGAGAACAGTCATTTACTGGAACAACTTATCCAGGAATGAGACAGAGCCCACATCACTGAAGGCTTTTAAGATGTGACTGGACAGCATGCTACACCATCTCATCTAGGCTCCCTTTTCTACAAAGGGTCAGGCCAGGTTTTGAGTTCCCTCCTGACGTGGGCTGCCCTAGAGTTCTACGAGAGTCCCTTTGTTTTTCAGCATTTCTCCTACTTCCTTCTCATTTGAAGGGCCCTTACAGTGTACTCTTTTATCAGAAGAAAAAGCAAAAACCGTTTCATCTATCCTTTCCATGCTACTTATTATTCTGAGAACCTCTAGAATTTATCTTCATTTGTCTCTTCTCCCAGCCTTGGAATCTTCAGTACGTCTACTCCTCACATATTTTTTTCCCCCTTGCATCATTCTGATGAGTTTTATGTTTAATCCTATTCTGTTACACTCTTTTTAGGAACTCTCAAGGAACTGAAAATCTAAGTTTTGACTGAAAGCCATACCCTCCACTAGCATAGAATACAACAAGGTAACTGCAATGCTACTGCATAATCTAGAGGCCTGCAAGAGATAGCAGACAACTTCAGTTTTTACTCAATAGTAAATAGGTACTCTGTACCTACAAGTAACACCAGTGAATAAAACCATGCCTGCATGACACAGAGTACCGAGCTGGATGTGCACAAGCTATTAGCCCAGTGCTGAACTACAAACTACTGTCTGTAGTCTGTAAGAAAACTTATAAAACATACCCTGCACGTGTGGATGATGGACCTAGCTGTCCCAGATCACACGGGATTTAGATTCATTACTTATCCAGGAAAGCACAGGAGTTCAGGTGAGAAGACACAGACCCTGCAACTCACTTCAGTGTGTTGCTAAGTTACAAGAAATAACAGGATACAAAGAATTCTTCATCCTTTCTTGACCTATTCCTGGCTATGATCAATATATAAGCACATTAAACATTCTACAGTTGTTTCCTTACTCCTGTGGCTCATCTTTCTCCTAGTAATTAAAATGCTTCTCACCATCCCCATTATTTGCATACACATTAATTCCAGGGAATACAGCTTCCTGCTCTTAATGAAGCCTGTATAGATCACAAAAGCATCCAAATATAACACTTAGCAAAGGAAATAGTACAAACCTGCGATAGCGGGGACGATACGTAGGATTCCTGTGGACTTGTTGATGAAGTTGTCCTCCTTCTGTGACCCCATCCTTGATTTCTCCCTCACCACCCTACAACCAAAAAAACCCACAGAAGACAGTTAAAGATGAAGTGTTGCCTTATTTCATGGCCAGTATATTAACTAAAAAGCTCAATGATCTGAACACAGGTTCAAAAACAGTTTATCAGAGTACAGGAACACCAGCATATCTGGCAGGTCCTCAAGAGATTTTGGGCAAAGATAAGACAGAACAAGAGCTAATAATGGTGCCCTTGTTCCTCACAGCAACCAACTGCTAAGTGGTCTGACTGCACCTCCTCACTGTCTGCCAAGAAAGGCAGAGAACCTGACAGTTCTTTTCTGATGCATATGAAAGCACGTTTCAACACACTGACATTGCATTGTAAGAGGGTAAACATATTATGGAGATGCAGCTATTGAACAGAACACTTCTGAATTTGGAAAGCTAACCAAAACACATCATGCTGCAAATTGCCAGAGACCACTTCTAGCTTTATTCTAGAAAGCCCCATTTAACAGAGAACTCCTATGAAAACAAAGAAATTTAAAGAGAGAAGAGTACTTGACATGTCACACAGTTTTTCTACACACTAGAAATTTTCAACCTTTTAGAGATGCAGGGGTTGTCCTTCCCCTTTAGCTGTTATCTGATAAAGCTGTATTTCACTTCAGGTGTTTGGGTTTTTTCTAGGTTTTGGGGTTGTTTTTGTTTTTTTTTTAAATGTAACCATCAACATCTTTTTATGAAAAGCATTATTAACCATTCCTATTATACTATTCTTCTCTTAAAAAGAATGGATTTAACAAGAGACTGAGTTCTGTTTCCAGATCTTCTGGATCTGAACCAGCAGGTCACAAAAGCTATTGCTTCCTGATGGGCTTCAGTAGTCTACATTAAGTTTGGCAGGTCTCCTTCCAATTCCACGTAGGTATTTTAACCACCATTATCACATTTTGCTCTGTTTTCACTTGCAACGTCAGCTAACTGTATAGGCAGTAAGCTTTTCCTTAGCTAAGATAACACAACAATTAGCACTGAGAAAGGCCGAAGTTTTGTAGGTTGCAACAAGAATTCTTGGGGAATTAAATGAACCTCAGGGATCAACCTGGACAATCTTCTCCTCTTGCCACAGTAAAATACCTTCCAAAAGCATTAATAGATTTCAAGTATTTTGTAGCTTTCCAAGTTTCCAAAAAGCACAAAGGCACTGGCTAAAGGCAACTGGAATATTTTACATGCTGTACCTAGAAATAGTTATACCAGCTATTCTTAACAACAGGGTCAACTGCTGAGGTAAGTAGAGAGAAATCAGAATTCACTAAAGAAAACCCACATCATAAATAACATTTTCCATTATGTTCTCTCAGGTGTAATCCTGATCAGGCTATCTAAATACTAGAAGAAGCTGCTGATAAGTAGATAACAGTAACAGGTAGCATCTGATGACAGTTGAGAACTAGCTGAGAGGCTCAGAACCCAAAAGGAAAGCTATACTTCTGAGTTTACAACAGCATGGTAGTATATCTACTTTGCAGTACCAATCTGTCCCGTTTGTATCCCAATACTTTATACTACATAACCTTACAGTTTAAGAGACCTGTGATAGGTGGTCAGAAGCACCTCAGACAGTGAGAAATAGTACCATCACCAGTAATGAGTGGGGCAATGGTGATTCAAAGGTTATAGGATTTGCCTTTTGTGAAGTAAGGACCTAACGCTGCTCCTGCTCTCATTCTCTTCCTCATATGAGGACTGACAAAGCACAGAAACAGAATAGCAAGGTGTGAACGGAAGAGAGGACAAAAAACTACATCAATCCTGAACATGTTCCATCATCATCATCATTTATCTTCCCCAGGATTTCTGAGCAAGCACACATGGAATTAGCACTCTGTTCTAGTGCTGCAATGCCTGAAATACTGAGCCACAAGGCCTAGTACATCCTATGCGAGAGACAATGTGCCAGAAGCTACCAAAGCATCAACCAAGTTGTAAGGAGTGGCATACAGCAGCATTTTTCATCAGCCAAAGCTCTCCTATAGCACTTTACATTCAGCATCACATTCACAGCACAGTATTGCATTTATGTATGTTTTCATGGAACAGCATAAGTCCACTCCTCCCTACACAGAGCTTCACTGAAAGCTCAGATAAAGACTCCATCTCCTGCAGCGATGGAAAGAAATACTAAACCTGGTGAAGCATTACTCAAAACCAATGCAAACATTTTCCTACTCATCTTGAAATGAACACTACCATATCAGAATTTCAAATGGGTTAAGCTTTAACAATCAGTTGAAAACAGAACAACAAAGCAACTGAATTGCTTAGCCCAGAAGTCCTCATCATTTTCTACATCTTATATAGTACCACAAACTAAACACATTACATTAGTTGTGCTGTCAATCAATCTAGGTCTGTTGGCCAGAAGTGAAATATGGCTCCAGAACAAAACTATTGACTGGAAAACAGAATTCTAGCTTTGAGATCTTGTTTTACTACACTGACAGTAAATGTATTAGATTCGTTTACTACAAAAGCTTCACCTGTACTCTTAAAAGCACCACACTATGTCTGGCACCCACATGATCCTGTTCACTCAGTCTCCTCCACAGGAACCTTCCAACTCAGCATAATACCTTCTAACAAAACATTAGGTCATCCTAAAAGACACAGGAAGCTGGCCTGCTGTACACTACGTTTTCCTCTGAAGATGACCAAAATAGGCAGGCATGCTGCAATTCCCCATGAAGATCTCACACAGATTTCTCTAGTCTTAAAGAGATACACAAATCCATTGCTGTCCCCCAAATAAGTTTTTTAAGCATTAACTGTAAATGTAATGAGATTTTTACCCATCTGCTTCCCCTTCCCTCTCTAGCTTTCATATAGTACTATCCATCTTTTCCAGTCTCCTCTCTACAAGAAATAGCATCAGTCTATGAAACAGCTCTCAAACTATTTTGCTTAGTTTCTGACTCACTGGTACAGAGTCATCTTCTATTAGTAATACACACAAGGACATCATCAGTTCAAGGTTACTCCACAACTTGTTATCTGTTCTAACATTCTGACTACAGCTCCATGCCATGGCTACATTGTCACAGCTTCGCTAAGAGCACAGCCTCTTCTCTGTAGTGGATCTAATTAAGAAACATCTGATATGAACAAGTACTTCTACTTTCCACAAAAGTTTTCATGCAATCCAGACACAGTTCTGCCAAAGCTAATTAAATATCTCACATTCCTCCAGGTTCTCTTCACACAAAGTGTTCAAAACCAGACCCAGTAAGTTACATGTAGAGTACAGGCTCATTTGAGTTAACTCAAAGTATAGCATCTTTACTTTGCTTAAAACCATGACAGTGAGGAAGCATAAATTGACTCTTGCTGTGCTACAGTGTTGGACTGAAGTTGCTAACAGAAATCAAAAGTTCTTCAAACCTAGAAGGCAACCATGTCAAAAGTCACCTCAACAAGTTCAATATTTATTTCTTCCCCCTCCTCCAGTAAATACAGGATTGGTAATATGGGCAGCTATGCTCTGGGGAAAAGTTAAAAAAAAACCCCAAACACAAAAAAAACCACAAAAAAACAACCCACCACTCTTTAACTTCTGCAGCCTAGGAGATCTTTAAGTATAGCAGGTTTGGGTACACTGAAATCTTTTCCTTAAGGTGTGCTAAGAATGCCATACCATCAGCAACTCAAACTTGTCTCAGAAATTCCCCACAGGACAATTAGCCAAAACCACTTTCTCAAGTGCAGATGCACAAACCTGTTAGTGGGGCCATACAGAATAGTGTATACATACTGCCACAGCTCACAGACATTGCTACCTTTCTTCCTCCTTTACACACACAGGGGTGGAAGGGGAAAGAAGAGGCCTTCTTAAAAGAAAAGATTATTAGAAGCATCTTTCTAGATACAGTAGGCATGCAGTTTCACTGTGAAGAATACATTAACGGCTACAAATAAAAAAAAAATCTCCTAAAGGAAATTTTGTTATCAAAACAAGCACACAGGGAATGACAAAATATCTGGACAAGTTTGAGTGGTTTTGCTAACCTCCAGTAGGAGAACTTCAGGGCCACTCCCTACAAAGACTTCCTTAAAGTAGAGCTTTGTTTTCTTCAGGCAACTAATAGGTGAGTGGGTAAGAAGGCCCATCAGAAGTGGTTGAACCTCAAACTAGGTTAGAACACAAAGGGTCCACTACAACATGCAGAAAGTTGAGCAGGCGTAGCAGGTCAACTCCAGCTGCTCAAGGAACTCCTGACTACGTTCAGATGTGAAAAGGAAGGATTATTTAAACAAATTTTACACACACAAGTCCATGAGACTACACAGGATACATCTGAGAATGGTGAAGCAGCTGGCAAATGTCACTGCCTGGCTGGTGTCATCTTTGAAAGGTCACAGCAATCATGGAGTTTACCTTCTTACCTATTAGAATGACATACTAAGGGAACGGTACTGTAAGATCTTCACCACCCCCAGTAAAACATAATTTACTCTTAACAAATGGAACCAAATTCAGAGGAGCAGTCAATGCACTGATGGCAATGCCTGACACTCAGAGGATAGTCAAGCTAAAGAGAAGTACCAAACCTCATTAGGAGCGTCAAACAATGAACATCCAAGTTAATGTCCTTTTGTACACTAACATTTGCAAGATTTGAAGGCTGTAATTCTTCCAAGCCAACAATCCCAGAGAAAAAGCAGTATACTTTAGCTTATGAAGTAAGACTTCATAAGACATCATCCACCAATCACACAATAGCTAATTCTGGTACCCACACCAAGTAAGTCTGGAGATTCAGATACAAACAAGTCAAAGGAACAGTGTGATATCACAATATGTTCCCCTTGTGTATATCTTCAAGTACTGGGATCCAAATGAGTTCTAGTGTCACATGCAAGCCAGATTTTTAGCTGCATGTGTTTGTGGTAGGCATCCAAGAGAAAATGTCCCAGCATGAGTAACCTGAGACTGAATGTTCCCCCATGTCCAAGCTGGGTCTCACATTATCACTCCTCAGGCAGAAAGAAACAGCTGCTTTCCATACTCAGCAGTACATAGGGTTGTCTAAGCCTGATAGGTCTGCTCATTTAAAATCTGAGGCAGCCCCAAGACAACACCACTGCCACCAACTAAAGCATTTGCTCCCAATAAAGACAGCTGAGGGAGATTTTGAACACAGGAGAGCAAAAGGAAACAATATTGGAATGTAGCTGGTCAATAAGCCATCCAATAAGACTGCAAAAATGAAGAAAAAATAAACCAAACCAAGTTTCCTCATTCTTTGTCACTTGGTGAAAAAGCTGAAGCTGTAAATTCTATCACCACAAAACCAAAGACATACTTAGTAATAAGCCATCAGCACCAACTTTTCTAACCATCTCCGAGGGATTCAGAAAGAACACCTTTCATGTATTTAAGGTGCAGTGCTATCCAGCAGGATTAAAGAAAAGACCTTGTGACAGCTAGTATAAACAGCTCAGCTTTAAGAAAGGATTTGACACTTGTTCTCTTTGCCCCTGTACTGTTAACTCTGCAGAACAAAATGAAAAGTTATGCTGCTTGTGCACAGAGTTCCACCCAGGCTCTCATACTGGATCATTCAGACATTTCTGAAAGCGATGGTCACAGATTCAAGTATTAAAGAACAGATAATAGAGCATGTTTCAGTTTGCTGGATTGTTCCAGGTACCAATTTAGCACAAGGTAAACACGGATAGGAGAAGCAGCTGCTAGAACTACAGCTACGTATCTCATACTTAATTTTCCCTCTGCGAAAGCTTGCAGGGACACTGCTTAGGAATGCTTCCAGATGTTATAAACAGTGGTACATTGCTAGTTTAAGGAAAAGAATGAATTATCTTTACACTGAACTGCTGTAGGCAGAGGCCCATGAAGGGATGTTACATGGAGTTTTCAACTAGTTGGTCAGACTATTACCATGTCATGCACAATTAATGAACTTCTAAACAACTACCGCTTTCCAAATAACCCTTCCAAGTTATAGTTATACCAGTTAAAATAATATTAATGCTTTCCCTTGCTGCAGGTAAAGGGCATAGTGAACCACATAGGTGTCTCACTCCTTTGCATTTACTCTTCAAACAAACAGATACCTTAACACCCAAAGACATGTTTTTAACACATTCTAGAAAGACATGCCAAGGAACGGTTTACAGGACACCCAACAATAGAAAACATCAGTAACAACATCAAGGACACACTGGAAGAAAACAGGTTGTTACTGAAGAACACTTACAACTTAGTTAAGCATTGACAGTTGACTATATGCCAGTATTCAGCTTCCTCTCATGAGGAGATCAGAAGACTGCTGAGAAGGTAGGGTGACCATTAAAAAAAACCAAAACACAACTAAAAAACATACACTTCGAGGTGGTCCACGGCGTCGGCCAAAATAGCCACGTCGGTAGCGGCGCCGGTCTGCAGCATAGCGGCTGCCTTCTACAGGGACTCCGTCTGGACCAGTGACGTTGGCTGCTTCTGCACCCTGAAAGGCCAAAATAAAGTAAACCAGGGTGGTGTGACAGAAGAACAGCCAGCTACAGAGAGAAAATGAAACAGGAAAGAAGGTTTTGTTGCAGCAGTTCCAGACTAAAGAGATTCCTTCCTCCCACATAGTGCAAAAGCAAGTTTGTTATTCTCAGCCCCATAACCAGGAGTTATGATCAGAGTTAAGACTCTATCAGCCAGGTTGAGTTCAGGAAAAAAAAAAAAAAAGCTCAGAAAACACAAAATAAGTTTGAGAAAGTAGAAGTGAAAAGAACTTGCACATTCTTAAAGTTATTAAGCTATCAGACTCCAAGACAAGTTTTTCAGGGCTACATATGCCTCAATTAATGATTATGGGGCAGGTTGCAAGCTTCAAATGCTCTATCAAGTAAAAATTAGATTCTAGAAGCACTAGGATGTAATTAGAGTTTTGATACATATCTAGAAATACTTCTTAATGAAGCTTTTTTGTAATTAAAAAAGCTACAACCAAATAACAAAAACAATCCCAAAAAACTTTCTTCCATAGAAAAACTATACAAATGCTACCCACCCCAAGGATTAACACATTAGACAAAAATACTGTATACACAGCTAATGCTCTGTCTTCATCCCCACTAGAGAGATGTTAACTCTGTCAGACCACACCCCTAAGTCTTCATAATCTCTTACCTTCTCTCCCTCGACCACATCAAATTCTACAGTCTCTCCATCACCAACACTGCGCAGATATTTCCTTGGGTTGTTTTTCTTTATCGCCGTCTTTAAACAAAGAAGATACAGAAGAATATTATCTTACTTATCTTACACATTCATAGCCCTGTAGAAGAAGGAAAGACAGTATTCTTCTACAATATCAACTCTATACACCAGAACAGTCACCACACCAGGCTATTTCAAACATATAATTATCTCTCAGTACTGAGTCAAGGTTTACTCCTTTCTCAATACTTTATGAATCAGCTGCTGTCCCAGAATCCCCTCTGTCAAGCCTAGTAAATATCCAGAGCATTACACATTTCTGTATAAAGAAAGTTGACATAAGTGCTTGATTTCCTGCAAGCCGTAGCAAGGCAGGTCCAGCAGCAAGTGCACCCCATGCCTTCAAAGTCATTAGGAGACCTGTACACCATTTACAGAGAACTTAAGACCAGAAGGTGGCATTAACTATATAAGGTGTCATGGCAACTGACAGTAACAGAGAAGAATTACTGTAACTCTGGTGTAACATTTCACCTAAGCACTGTAAGGGAGATCTTCAAAAACTAGGCAAGTCCCTACAGAACACAGGAACGGTACCAAACAGACAACTGCAGTCTTGGTTATCTCCTAGACATAAACCTCTAAAATGCTATAAACAACATAGCTTTGGATCAAAACAGGTTGAAAAATCTCTTCAGACTCACAAGAACACTCAAATTTCATAGAGCAATTTTCAGTCTGTCAACTACAAAAGTCTTCGACCTCATGGAGTACTTCTAGGATTCCACAAGAGGCATTTAGCAAGACAAGTCTACTATCTGTATATTAGGTAAGGGTTCACAAACTGCAGAAGCCAGAGAGAAAAAGCCCAAACAAAACAGACACAGACGTACATTGTACATGTCAATCCAGTAGCCAGCGTCTCACTAAAGTTCTCTTAGATCATTAAAGTCCAATTCACTTTAAGTTTCCTGATCTTAAAGTGCGAAAGAGGCAAGTGCAAATTCAGTAAAGAGGCACAAATGAAAATACAGGGCACAAGTCTGTCTTAAGAAATGGGACACAGGGCAAAAAAGAGACAGTTGTCATATCTGTCTGCAGTTCAAGAAAAATCAGTCAAGTTGTTGCCTGTGCATGGCAACTATATTCATTCAGTCAACAATAGCTCAAAAAGTATTTCCCACTGAAGGAAAAGTTCTAAGCAGTTTAAAGATGAGCTTGACTAGTTTAGGAAAACTACTCTCATTGTTGCCAAATACAGTCCCCTTGTGTTTGAGGCAATAGGCCAGCATGTCCTTGTAGCCCTACATCTAGCCACACCGTTCCCCATACCCTGCAGCATCCCTGAACAGCTTAAGGGAGAATGCAAGTGTGTACATATTAGTGCTACCAAAGCAAAAACAACTCAAGAGAGCTATTGATACAGGAGGAGAACAAGCTGTTCAAGTGAATTCTTCTGGGAGTTACTTTAGTAAGCAGAGACTCCCACCACCAGCTGAGACAGCTTTGTTTGCTTTCTTCTGACCTATTAGTGTAACTGCCTCATTTCTAAAATCAGCTGGAAGTGTTAGCTTTTCCATAAATGTTGTATACCAATATTAAGATCATTATCTTCCCTGCAGATTAAGGGAATTTCACAACTACTTGTACCAAGACATCAACAAGCTGTATTAGAAACTCCCTTCCTCCTAAGTGCAGAGGAAGAAAGGACTACCAGATTTCTTTTCAGTAGAGGATGTGCTTAAGATTAATAAAGCTCCTTAAATATCCTCCAAGAAGGGTAATGGAGGATAAATTCAACATGATTCCACATTCTGTTCCGGCTTTGTGGACAGAAACTTCAAGAACTCAGATTTGCAACTGTGTAACTTGCCAAGAGGAGAGAGGTGTGTCTTATAAAGGCAATCAGAAAAAAAAAAATTGATTAAGTCCTCAAATTCAGAGCAGGAACTATTCAGCTTTACTGCTTGGTACTTCAGTCGCAGGTAAACATTGCTGAAATAAGCCTCTAACAAGCCTAAGCTCTAAGCTTGATGATAAGACTTTTACTCTATATATCCAGCGGGAAGAGAGCACGACTCTCCATGTTACTGTTCACCAGCATCCTCCAGGCTCTGGCTTCTTTGATGCAAAAGACAGATGTTTTGTGTTAACATAGAGAGCACTCAACAATTAAGACAAAGCCTTTCCTTTCCCAAGGGGACACTGATGAACAGACACCTAGCAAGAGTCTTCAGAGCCAGTTCAGTATTTTGTTTATAAGAGTTCTTCCCATATCCTCGTATCATGACATCATGTGCACATCCAGCATTGTCACAGTAATAGCCAAAATTTGTTACCCCAGTTACTCATGCATGCACACCAGGCTGTGCAGACTGAATAGTCTGGTGAAGAAAGGCCTGTGCAGCAGAAGAGACTAACTTAACTCCTCCTCACTGCTTGTTTTTTCAAACTATGTCTAATTAAGCCAGACTTCTCCAGCTACTGACACTCTTTATGGTGTTAAATAGCAAGACCCTCCTCCACCCACCTCCCAACACACTTCACCCCACAAGTGATTGATTCCTATTGCTCACACCAGCCCTGACACAGTGCCCTAGACAGCACCTTGCATGAACTAACCAGACAAGGACACAAGCAAGACAAAGCAGGTGAAGGACCGCCCTTCCCCAAAACACTGCTTGGGTCCCCCCACAAAACAAAGGGTTAATTCAAAGCAAGCCATGCATGCCCTAAATAGAAAAGCATTTTAATCTGTACTAGGTTTATAAATAGTATCCAATAGCTAGACACTAGCGTTAACCCCCATTCCAATCAGGAGATCGGCCTGTTCCCTCCCTCCCCACTGCTGTGGATGTGTGCAGGGGAGGCAGTGAGGAGGCTGTATCTATTCAACTAGGTCAACCTTATTCTGAAGGGATTAGGCACGTAATCCAGCCCCTCCCGGGACAGGCATAGGGAGGAGGGGCAGAGCTGGCACTAACCAGGGAGAGGGAGCTCGCAACAGGATGTTTGCTTACGCACCATGGACTTGCCTCCCTCACAGGGAGGCCCCATCAGAAGCTCCAGCCAGAAAGCCCCAGGCTCTGGTAGCCAGCACGTTCACTTACAAACTGAGGAACATCTGACTGCAGCCAACCCAGGCCAGAGCTGGAAGCATCTACTCTGCCATGCACAGCCCGCCAAGAGGGTTAATCGGATGCAGGCTTGCACATAACGTGTTATTTCTGAGCTTTTGCTCAGCTCTCACTCCAAAAGGACTTCAGTCACAGGAGACAGGAAGTAAATTCTCCTCTGCCCCCTCCCCAGTTTACATTTAGGTGAATAATGTCCACAGGTGGAGGAGACAAAATAGCACAGATAATGCTAGTTTGCTGTTGGCCTTCACTGATTGGGTCTCTGCAGGCAGCCTTCCCAACCAGTAGAACATTGATCCACATTACCTCCTGCCATCAGCACAACCATTTTCCAGGGTATCTTCTCACAAGTCTCCAGAGAACTTTACTTGTCTTCAAGTTAGTTTAACAGTGCTGCCTCTCCAGAACATGTTTCTGTTACTAGAACTCCTCCCACCTTCCGCTGGACACATTGCCACTGGGCTGCAGATGCAGCAGCACCTGTATCAGCATGCACACAGCACACAGTTTTAAAGGAGAGTGGCCATTAGAAATCAGTACATGCACTGAGAGCTCTTGCTCCCAAGTTCACCAACTGAACAAGTAACGTGTACTGCACACACTTCCTAACACCATCTTCACTCATTACAAGCACTACACTAGTTCCCTCCTAGCTTCATTCATTTCCATTAATGGATCTGCACCCCTTGACCCAAAGAAAGAGCTATCACAGGCTGTTTAGTCATGAAGCCACAGGAACTAAACTACCTTTCAATGTTGATCAGCATGTTTAACACAACTACATAGTCACAGAGACTGAGGATATGTGCCTAACTCCGAGTACACATTTCCTGAATAGATTTCATGGAAATACTGCCACTTCTGCTATGGAGAAAGCTCATGGTTTTAAGGATCACATGGGCCTGCAGACATTTCATATGGGACAAGCTCCAGGGGCAGTATTTCATTTTCTGGCGAAACAGAAGTCTCAGATGATGCAAAACCAGATCTAAGCCAACTAATCAGTTTACATCAGCATGGAGACAGCATCCTCTGTCTTCCCATTGGTTACCTTTGACCAGAGAGTCTCAGTATAAACTTAGAACAGCCCACTGACACTTCAAAAGAAAGTTAACCAATGACAAGCTCCTGGGCCACTTCTCTTTGCTTGGGCACACTTGGCACACAGCCTTCCTCCTCTTCTTCCTAAGAACAGCTGCCTCACGCAGCAACAGCTGATGCCAACCCAGACTGGTCAAGAGCCAGGCTAGATCACTTTCTCTCCAATACCGGGGAGGGCAGACAGAACAGACTTGCAAATGAAGAGGTTAGAAAGAAACAGAAGATACAAGAAACATGAGGTAATAGGGAGGAGGGGAAGGAGAGCCAACAAGTAGCAAAGTATTTAAAAAACAAGAGTCATCTCCACAAAGGAGGGACAAAACCCAAAAACATACAAAAAACCCAACCCCCAAAAATGCTTTTAGTGTTCAAACCAGAGCAAAATAAAGCATGAGGGCTTATAACACTTAATCCTTTAATTACCACACCAGAGAGAAGGATTCCTCCCTGAAAATTTTAACATACGTATCCATTCAAGGTATTCGTGGTCAATATGCTGGAAAGGGGAAAGAAGGACAATACAGAGTGGCTGTTTCAGGAAACTACATTGGAAACCTATCACAGTGCACATCTAAGTACAAATACTGTTGTCTTACCTGATGAACAAACACATCTTCTTTGGTATCATTTCTGTGAAAAGAAAGTGAGAAGTCATAAGAGTTTAGACTATGAGATTTAAATATAAATTCTTGACTTCACAAGTGAAGCTCTCCTTCCCCTAGCCTGTAGGACATCCCCTGGATTCCATACATTCTGTGCAAGTCTATGCTACCAAGATCCTGCTTTGAATTTCCACATGTTTGACAGCAGAAAGAACTCCCCACCTTTCAGAAGCACGAGGGGATGTGGAGGCTCTCTCTAGTCTTCTGGCAAAGGCTCAGTATTTTGTTTTGACATGGGACAGAGTTAATGACTGGACTGCCTATTTTCACTGTTCCACCCTCCCTCAAAAAAACCACCACCACAAACTTCCACAGGGGCTGCAACCTGAGCTGTTATCCCAGAGATCAAGCAAGACTATCAACAGGACTGGCCACAGCTGTTAACAGAGCTCTTCTTTCAGTGAAACTAAAAGCAACTATACACAAGAGGTGCTAGGAGACTCCACTGGAGGGAGACACAGACATGAACCTGACGTTGCCTGGATTAGGCTAGCCAGTTCAGGTTTCCACATGCAAAACATGAAGACAGGTCTGAGACCCTAATTCTGTGTTCTAACTTGCTAGAAAGAACCTAGACCCTACTGCCTGTTCACTCAATTCCTTCTCTGCAGAGGGAACAGGTGGGTCAAAGAGTTTGTGAAGATAATCCAAAATTTATTGTGCTGGACTGAAGCAACAGCAGACTTGAGTTCAGGAAGAAAGCTAACAACTTATTGCACTGTATCCAGCTGAAGGCTCTCACATCAAACTGCTGTGAAAGACTTTCGAGTACTTCCTAATTCAAGCTTTTCTTGTAAGCTTACATAACTCTGGATAATAGTCTCCAGAGACTGAGATTAACAGATCTGGCTTCAGATCCACAGAACAGGAGCTCTTCTGCACTTTCTACACTTAACCAAATCTACCTGCTCTGTAATAGGTCAAGGACTTGCAGGAAAAAAAAAAAACAAAACAAAAACGCAACTTGCCAGGTATGTCTTTTACAAGACAAACCTTCACCATGCAGAAGCTTACTTTTTCGTAAGTCACAGAAGACATTTAAGCTTCTCAACGCTACAGATATTCCAGCCTCAAAAGCCAGAATCTCCTCCAGTAACTTAGAAGGACAGGTCTTGTACACCTAAGGTTGGAGTGTGACCAATACCACTTACGGCTATTTAGATTATCAATGCCATTCAGAGGTTTGTTCGTGTTTACTGGAGAAGGAAAAAAAAAAAAGCCACAAAGAGAATTTCTGTGAATCCAGGCCTGGAGTATCTTCAGTTAGATGACATGAGAGAATCATGTGTATTTAGATATTTTCACTAATCACTTCACACTCAATTTCTTTTTTTAATCAAAATGTATTTCCCCTCATCCTCCAATCTTACTCTTACCTTTAAAAAAAAAAGGCCAGGCACTCACAAAAGAACACACAGCTCACTAAAGGTATAGCACAAGTAAACATAAGAAACAAATAACAGATCTAATTGGAAAATAGTTTGATCCTTTCTGCTTTCTCCCCATACACGCAACTTCTGATGGAGGGTAGGGGAAAGAAAAAAGGAAGAGTCCCCGGAGATGATATCAGAGTTTGCTGAATGCCTGGCCAAATCTAACTAACCAATTGCATAAACTTGTTGTCAGGTCCTCGGGTCTCTGTTACAATCAGTAACAAATGGCATATTATCTATACCATAAGTCTCAGTACAGGATAAATACAACTACCATAATTTAAACATACCTGTTGATAAAGCCATATCCATTTCTGACGTTGAACCACTTGACTGTGCCAAGAACTTTGGTGGCTGGAAGGAAAAAGTTGAAGTTACTCTAAACATAAAGTACAAAGATACTTTTATATCTGCACATGAAGTCACAGCCAGACTTACTCTGTTCCCTTAACACTCAAAAGTGCACCTCAATCTCCCACTTCAGTTTATACTAATGCAGTAGCAGGGAGCAGTGCTTTAACATGCTGTTCTTGAGCCAAGAGATTACCACCTAGCACCTATAATGAAGCCCATCTCTATTTTCAGAATTGGCCATCCATCTCTTCTCTTTATTTCTAAGCCCAGAACCAGGCAGCCAAGCTGAAAATCCCACTGCCATTCATCAGTTCTCTTCACCTTTGTACCTAGACACAAAGCATAGATGAAGAGACCTGTTTAAAAGTCGCCTCTTTCACTCAGAAATATTCTTCTTCTCTTCCTTGGAAACCAGAACTAGCCAAGGAAGAAGAATCAAGCACCATACAACTCTCTCAAGTGGAGATGTAGCTCTTTATTGCACTGTTAACACCACTGTAGCCAAACACCCCACGATGCTATTTTTTTTTGTTTGTTTTTTTTATATTCCTACTTCAAGATATCATCTATGATTTACCAGCTATGGACTGACCAACTTTATGTTCCAAGGCCTCTAGGGTCAAAACATGTCGTCTATCTCACACAGCACCAAACAGCACCTTACTTAGAAGCCACACTGCAGTGTCTTACAGGATCTGGCGAAACCTGTTCCTCAAATATATGGGAAGAACTCAACAGCAATGGAGATAGTTCAACCTCTCCTTCACTCTCAGCAACTGGGTGGAGACCACAAACTTGTGCTTTTCAAACCCGTAGGGAACTCTAGGCTTTAGTAGAAATTACTTATTACATAGCATGACCACAACTATCTAAGCAATCCAAGCAGTAGATATTTGAAAAGGGTCTAGCCACCTACAGGTGACTGCTTGTTAAAAACCTTACCTATGTTTGGGGAGTGGGAGAAACACAAGAGGCAATTAGAAGGAAAATAGTCTAGAGACATGCTCCATTTCAGAAAGCCAAGCAGGTCTGCTAGAGGCAAGAAGAACACACTGCAAATTGTGACATTCATGTACTCCACATCTGCATTCTACCCTAAACATCCACTAGCAGATGACAGAGCTAGATGCAGCCTTGTCAGTCTTAGATACTCCCTCTGACAGACAAAAAGAGCAACCTCTTCCTCCTCCTCTGAACACAGGGCTGAAGCAGGA